ATGATAACGGAATGAAAACAAATATTTCTTACAGCAACTCAAAATGAACAAAACGAAAGCAAAACATTTCTTCCAAAGTCTCTATGAATCAGGGTTACAGACATACAGAGCACTTATCCAAGTGAATCTTACATAAATCACAATTAATCATCAAGCAATGTTGTACCAAACAAGGAACACACGAAGGAACGACGTTGACTCCAGCGACTGGGGCATGGCAGCATCCGTCCTTTTATCTCCAAACTTCCTCCCACAAGCCCCAGCTGCATACTGAATCTTGTATCCCGAAAAAACTCACAGCAGAACTGCTGAGTCACAACACCCTGCCCAGGGGAAAGTGATGCCTTGGAGTCAGAAACCAAGACCCAAGCGAGGACCTTACACCAGCACTTACATTTGGAGACAACTCCTTCCAAATGGATGATGTTTTGATGACAGAACTGCCCCATGATGCTTGCCTCGCTCAGAAAGTCAATGCGTTGTTTTTCGGTGTAGCCGGATTTCAGCGTCTTTATGGCCACGGGGTTCTCCTTCTTGCCGCTTTTCAGAATGCCTTTGTAAACCTCACCAAATTCTCCTAACGGAGGGCAGGGGGGAAAAAAACGGAGGCGTTGAAAGAATCCCTTGGAACGATTTGTGATGGAGCGGGGAGGTTAAATTAAACACAACCCTCTTGATCACAACTCAAGCAACCGTCCCTTTCTTGCCCTGTTTTTGGGATGATGGGAATCCGTTACCTGCTCCGATCACTTTATGCCGAGAAATGCTGGAAGGGTGGATCTCGGTGGTGAACTTCAAGACCGCCTGATTGGGGTCTTCGTAAGTGTGGGGGTCCACGTAGGTCTTCAGGGGTTTGAGCTGATCTGCAGAGTCCAAGGGTAGAAAATGAGACTAGCACACCAAGGGGGCTCCCCTGCTTTGAAGTGGAGAGAAATTCGGTTGTTTGGTCAAACCTGAACCCAACCTCTCTCCACGGTCTGCCTCTTAGGGATTGGATGGAAATAGGCACTCCTGTTTTTTTGTTTTAAAAATACTAGCTGATAAGCCGGCGGTGGCTGGGTATTTATAGACGTCGAAGCGTTTGTCTGACAGGGAGCCATTGAGAGGGGGCTTTCGTCTCCCTGTTCCCATGCCCATCATCCCTGCCCTCTCCCTTCCCTGTCCCATGCGCTCCTCTTTCCCGCCCTGTCTACGATCCTGGCACTTTGCCCCGAAGCGTTTGTCTGACAGGGAGCCATTGAAAGGAGCCTTTCATCTACCTACTCCCATGCCCATCATCCCTGCCCTCTCCCTTCCTTGTCCCATACCCATCCTCCCTGCCCTCTCCCTTTCCCCTCCCATGTGCTCCTCATTCCTGGCACTTTGCCCCGAAGAGTTTGTCTAATTGCCGCTCTAGGACGCCGCACTTGCTCTCCTTAACGGGCCAGGCGGTCCAGAGTTATGCTGGGACACAGACACCTACAAACAGTCTCACACACCGGGGGTGTCTTTCCCCTCCTCCCCCGCTATTTGTTTCCAGAGGGTAATTCATCTGTGTACCAAGTTTGGTTGAAATTGCTCGAGGCACTCCAGAGTTATGCTGGAACATATATACATACACACAGCTTAATAGAAGACCAGCTGAAGGTTGACTCAGCCTTCCAATATGCTTAGAGAGGCTGTGAAGTCTTAAATGCTATTGTCTAGATAGATAGATAGATAGATAGATAGATAGATAGATAGATAGATAGATAGATAGATAGATAGATAGATAGATAGATAGATAGATAGATANTGTTTATTATTCAATGTTATATGCCCTGATCAAGCACAGTGAATATGTGATTGTATAGAATGAAAACATAATAAAATATACATTAAAAAAAAATTTTAGGGGTCATTTCCATATCAAGTGGTCTGATTTCATGAAGGTGCTGTGCTTGAACATCACGGATTTCGGTGAAATTTGGTGTGAACCTGCGCGCACGTCCCCAATGAACACTGGTAAAGTGTTACATGTGCCGATGCAATCCTTGCGGGGATGTAGTCATTTGTGTGACCCCCATACCGCAGCCTTCGACAGTATGACTCTGAGGTTTCAGCAACTCTGAGACCGAATATCTCCGGCAAGGTTTTGTTGAGAGAAATAATCAATGGCCATCTTATACAACTTGTTGTGCTCTATTAAACAAAATAATAAAAGCATTCCCATGAGCAATCGCCATCAAAATAATCTGGAGCAAAGGTGGCCAGAAATGATTACTATATTTTTCAGAGTATAAGACGCACCCTTTTCCCTCAAAAAAGAGGCTGAAAATCTGGGTGCATCTTATACAATGAATACAGCATTTTTTGCCTCCAGAAACCCTGCCCCCTTCACTAAATGGCTGTGCATAGCCTTTAGGAGCCTTGCAGAGTGTTCCTGGGGGCTGGGGAGGGTGGAAATGAGCGAAAAACGGGCCATCTTTTGCTCAATTTTGTCCCCTCCCAGCCCCCAGGAGCACTCTATAAATCTCTTAAGGCTGTTCATGCCCTTTTTTTGTCAAAAAACGAGCCTGTTTTTTGCTCATTTCCCCCCCCTCCTCCCAGAAGCACTCTACAAGCCTCCTAAAGGCTATTCATGCCCTTTTTTTGACAAAAAATGGGCCCGTTTTCGGGAGGCCTGGAGAATGCGAAAACTTTTTTAAAAATTTGCCTCTTCAAAATCTTGGTGCATCTTGTACTCCGAAAAAATACGGTATAACTCTGCAAGTATTTCATCGGCAAACGTAACACTTTACCAATGATCATTGGGGATGCATGCGCATGTTCACACCAAGTTTCATCAAAATCCGTGATGGTCGAGCAGGGAGCCCCAAACCACTTGACATGAAGTGACCCTTAGAAGAATGATGCAAATTCTTCCTAGGGAACAGAACAAAGACTTCCAAATGCAGTGGAATGAAATTGGGGGGTGGGGTGCGGGGCCGTCGAAAGCTCAGTGACCAAAGGCTCGTTTCCCAGGGCATGCACCAGCAAAGCCACACTCACTCATTGGTCATCTGCACCACCTTCTCAATGACGTTATAACCAGCCTCTAGGAAGTGCTCTGTGTACTGGTGCATTTTGATGGACTCCAGCCACTCTGCCACAGTTCGGAATGGGACTCCTTCTGAGCCGCTGGTGCTGGGTAAACGGATGGAAATCCTTCAGAGACAAAAAAAAAGAGAAAGGCCCGCAGCTCTTTAGAACCAAATAATTTCTAAAACAGGTGTTGTGGCCTGCCGGCAGCCAGCACAGCTGGCAGCAGAGTCGGACAGTGAGGAGGTTGGGGAGGAACATGGGCCACTCCTGGGGGCTGAGGAAAGCTCAAACGAGGGCTCTGCGTCGGAGGCAGAGAGGGAGCTAGACAGCAGCAAGGCAGAAGAACAGCTGGAGCTTGTTCCCAGTGTGCGCATGCACAGAGCTGCCGGAAGGGAAGAACAACTAAGAAAGCAGGGTTGACTTAGGAGTAAAGCCACACCTTGGAGGTGATTGGCCCCTCCCATAGGAAACAAAAGAGGAGNCAGTCACTGCTATTAAGCCTGGTTTCACCCAGTTTATATGTGTAGTTTTGGTTTTTATTACCTAAGCGTAGGACTTTACTTTTCTCTACATTGAATTTCATCTTGTTAGATAGGGCCCAGAGTTCAGTCTTCACAGTGCGTTTAGCTTGGGTTGATCAAAGCGAGAAACAAAATGGTTCTATACATCTTTTCATTAAGGCCCTTGGGTATTTATTTTAAAAAACAAAAGAAAAGCTGTCAGAGAATATCCTGGTAAGTCGGGTTAAGGCAAGAATGCCGCTATTAGTCAGAAACCAGCGGGGAAGGGGGGTGGGCTGGGGGAGCATGATATTGCTGACGTCCCATTGTTTTTCATATGGAAATGACTTGCCACTTCTCTGCTCCTCTTGCAAAAGTTATCTGAATAGCCAGTAGGTGCCCTAAAGTGCTGTGATATGCAAAGAAATTGAGGGTGAGCTCTGAGGGGGGTCCGTTCCCCCCCCCATTTATTTCTTGGGCATGTTGGGGCATGCATTTTCCCCATGAATGCTGCATTCCTGCAGACTTGCGGCAAAAGGCAATTTCTGACTGCTTTCAATGGAGGGGGGTTTCCTCCCTCTGGAACACTTTTTGTGTCAGGGTCCCAAATAAGACCCCCCCCCCAATGAAAGAAGACTCTGAGGTGATGAAGAGAGGGAAAGAGAGAGAGAGCAGACAGGAGAGAGGGAAGCAGGAGGTAGGAAAAGAGAAGGAGAGAGGGAAGGTGTGGAAAGAGGGGAGATGAGAGGGAGAGAGCAAGGGGAAGTAGTGAAGAGAGGGAGGGCAGAGGGAAGAAAGGAGGTAGGGAGGAGGAGAGAGGGAGAGGAGAAGGGTTGAAGATGAAACAGACTATAATATGGTGTATGGAAAGCAGAAGAGCAAATAAAAATTATTGGGGCTTGATGGCAAGAGGAATTGATATATCATTGAATATTTTAAAAAGTTTGTTAAAATGTCATGGTATACTTTGGATTATATGTGTGTCAAAAAATAGAAATAAAAAACTTTTTTGGAAAAAAAAAGACTTGAAGTTCCTCAAAGTTCTATTTTGTTAGAGATGTCCTATTGGCACATCTGGGAAAACCTGAATCTGAAAGCTTCCAGTTTTTCCCCACCCTAAAGAAAGAACAAGTCCCCGCTCAGCACCCACAGGTCCATCCCATGGTCCAATCAGGCACCGTCCAAAACTGGAGATGCCTCCCAGTCACACCATCACAGCTGCAGGGCAAAGTGTCCTTGACTCTCTGAGAAAGGAATGTTATTTTGACTCTAAGTCACCCACACTCCATATAATCCCCCTCCCTTTTTCCCACAGTAGAAATTGTAGCAGGCATGAAGGCCCAATGGAGAAGATGCCAGTCTCGACCCTGTTCTAGATCGTATTGAGCCCGACATTACAATGCAGCTTCCTGCTTATTTGCAGGAAGTGACAGGATGCTGGCCTGCGTTCTGATAATTAAACGGATGGCTCCACAACTTGAATTAGGATTAAAAAGTGGAACGGGGGTAAAACGGAATTGAAATTGAGGTGGGGGAGAGAATGCTGAACCTTAAATATCAAGCAGAATAAAACAAGAGAGCTTGTAGCCATCTGTAATAGTTTAAAGCAGTGGTCACCAACTGGTGGTCCATGAGAAAATTTTGGGGGTCCGCGGAAAAATTATTTGCATTTTTTTATGTTGCACCAAATCAGGGGTCCTCAATGCGTGCAATGAACTCTTGTGTTGCTGCAGTGATTCTCCCCCTTCAGGATTTTTTTGTGAGGGTCAGAAATTCCGACTTGGGGTCTGCTTCAGCCTCCTGGGGGGGGGGGGCTTTACGAAGGTGTGTACAGTCAAGGTGATGGTTTTCCCAGTTGCAATGGATGGCTGTGAAAGCTGGACCATACGGAAGGCTGAGCGCCAAAGAACGGAGGCCTTTGAACTCTGGTGCTGGAGAAGAAGACTCCTGCATTGAGTCCCTTGGACTGCAAGGCCATCCAACCGGTCAGTCCTAGAGGAGATCAACCTTGACTGCTCTTTAGAAGGCCAGATCCTGAAGAGGAAACTCAAAGACTTTGGCCACCTAATGAGAAGGAAGAAGGACTCCCTGGAGAAGAGCCCAATTCTGGGAACAATGGAGGGCAAGAGAAGAAGAAGGGGACGGCAGAGAAGGAGGTGGCTGGATGGAGTCTCCGAAGCAGTGAGCTTCAATGGACTCTAGAGGATGGCAGAGGACAGGAAGGCCTGGAGGAACGTTGTCCATGGGGGTCGAGATGGGTTGGACACAACTTTGCAGCTAACAACAAAATGGCAAGGCAATGAATATTCACAGCTTGACTTCCCTGTAGCCAACGTGTGTTAATCTGCAAGCTCACTCCCCTCAATTTTCTATCCAGCTTGCTAAAGCCGTTGGGTTTCGTCTGTCTCCTGCCTGCTGTGCTTTCCTCCCTTTAGTTAACTTGGGCAGATGGCTTGCCCACGTTCCCTCCTCTGATCCTCCTGCAGCTTGCGGGCTCCGTGAGCTGCCAACGTTTTCTTTACAACCCACTCCTTTCAAATTTGTCGAGGCAAACATGCCCAACAGCTCCAGTTCTTGTTTCTCAACTCCAGGGTTACACAATCCCCATGAAGACGTGATACCCTTATCAGCTCGGTTGGGGTAGGTGGGAATCACGTGTGGAAATCCCAGCGAGGGATCTGAGAATAGGCCAAATAGCCGCATCTCAGGCAAATAACCAAGCAGGGGCTTGTTCCTCTTGGCATTGGGACAGCGTGGGTAAGGCACCGCTTTCTAACTCTTAAATCAGCGTATGCAGACTAATTTGTAGCCTGGCTTTCCCAGATATAGCTGCTTATCAGAGTTGCCATCTTTTCCCCTCTGGGTTGGCACTTATCGTGGGATTCAAACCTGAAAGTCATTCTGTGCAGCTGTTTGCAAACAGGTGCTGTCATGCATTGAACAAAGGTGATATGTTCAGGTGCTGCGTGTGTTTGTTCTGGCAGGGGATCCGGATAGTGAGGAGGTTGGGGAGGAGCATGGGCCAGTCCTGGAGTCTGGGGAAGGCTCTGATGAGGGCTCTGTGTCGGAGGCAGAGAGGGGGCCAGGGCCGTATGCCAGTCATCAGTTGCCTTCAAAGTCAGACATCAGTGAGGCAGAAGAACAGCTGGAGCCTGTTCCCAGAGTGTGCATGTGAAGGGATGAATGAAGGAAACAGCTAAAGAACAGGAGTCAACTTGGGAGTAAGGCCACAAGTGGACGATGAATGTCTCCTCCCAGAGGGAATAAAAGAGGAACAAAAGGGGAGTGGAGTTTGCAGGAGACAATTAGTTTGCTTCATTGGTTCCTGACTCTCCGAGACGCCTTGCCAAGTTTTGCAGAGATCAACCTGGCAGCTCTCCAAGTGAGATAAGGTCTGTGACTGTAAATCCTCCTTTGCTGGATGTGAATGAGCAGAATTCACAGTCAATTAATAAAAGTTTTTTTTTTTGCTGGGACAAGAAGTTTACTTCATGCTCTTGGGAAGCCTCAGTCAGAACAGCATGACACAAATCCATCCAGCAGGGCCCGGAGCAACACTGTAGACAGGCAGGTCCAAGAGAAAGAGAGTCTGCAGCCTTAAACCTACCTGGATAGTTCTGATGATGGAGCTGTGCTTCCATGGGACCATGATCATTTCAATTAAACACGGAGCTTGCTCGTTGTGTATGAATCAGAGGTGGGTTCCTACCAGTTCGCACCAGTTCGGTAGAACCGTTCGTCAAATCTACTGAACCGGTTAGAAGAGGTTCCACCAGTGGACCCGGAAAGCAGGCCACACCTACAGAAGAGGTTCCAAAATTTTTTGAAACCCACCACTAGTATGAATACATAGGGATGTTCAGAGAGATTCATCCCCCGCCCCCCCATTTTTGTAGTGCTCCATAGGAGAATCTTCTTGATCCCTTTTCACGCATCAAGGAAAGTGCAATTTCTCTGTCCCACGTAAGACAACAGAAATCTAAACTTGAATATTCAGATATGTGAACCAAACGAGCAAATGTTGCCAGGACATTGATGAAGAAATATGGCTGCCTGGTGAGCTCCTTTTATTTCCAATTAGGTTTTGTGGTTGAGACCTGACAGTTTCCATGGTAATATATATATTAAAAAACAGAACTGTTAGATCATACTTTGGAGATCGAATTTCTAATTCCTTTGGAAATCAGATGAGGAGGAAGCCATGGGCACATTAGCAAAGGCTGATGCTCCTTTATTATGTGGTAAGGTTCCCCTCGCACATAAGTGCTAGTTGTTCCTGACTCTAGGGGGCGGTGCTCATCTCTGTTTCAAAGCCGAAGAGCCAGCACTGTCCGAAGATGTCTCTGTGGTCATGTGGCCGGCATGACTAAACGCCAAGGGCGCACGGAACGCTGTGACCTTCCCACCAAAGGTGGTTCCTATTTTTCTACTTGCATGTTTTATGTGCTTTCAAATTGCTAGGTTGGCAGAAGCTGGGACAAGTAACGGGAGCTCACTCCATTACGCGGCGCTAGGGATTCGATTACGTGGTACACGGTACCGCATCACACCTTGTTTTGTTTGGTCCCGAACCTCCTGTCCTCCATTTAGCTATCTGAAATCTACTATTGGTATTTTCCCATT